CCAAATTTGGGAATCAAGAAAGAAAATCCAGAATGACTGCAATCTAGGATATAAGAATCTGATAAATGAGGAGGGCAAGGCAAGAGATTGCAGGAATGTAGTTGGTCAAGAAATAAAATAGCTTGAATGTCAGTATCAGGAAGAAACAAAACCAAAAGTAGTTAAGGTTAGGATTAAGAAGTATGGAATGAGAAGAATCGCATGACACACAAAAGAGAAAGAACAGTACACACCCATGAAACATTGGCCATCATGTTATCCCTAGTCAATGCACCTCTATAAGCTATACTTGATAAATTACCTGCGTGAGGAAACTATTCACTCACACAAGTAATAGATGTTACATGAACTTGAACTGTGAGTTCAAAGTTTTTAGAAAAAAGAAGGAAACTAAGTTCCTTAAAACTTCACAAGTCGTTTTAAATTGAAAAAGAAAAACACATCTGATGTGTTCAGTGCCAAGGAAAAGATTGAAGATTCACAAGTACCCTGTTATTGGTGGAGGGCTTTTGTTGCATAATAATGTCATTATGCAGCAGTTTAATTCACAAGAAATCTTGTGAGGTTAGGTTGGAGTTGCCTAAAGGCTAGTGGCATGCAAATCTCTGAGGCAGATACACATAGAAGATAGCTTAACTGTGTGAAGATGTGTATATCATCTCATAAATTAAAAGGTGTTGTATAATTGTATTATTCACTTGTCTCACATTGAATTAACTTGCAAAACACTGCTAAAATAATCCTATTCCATCAATTAAACATACATCCTTAATAGTAACTTTCAATATGAAAAATAAAATGTCTCAGTGGTGTCCCTAAAAATTTCCATTGTAACCCTTCAATTGTTATACAGAACTGTAGAACCTAGAAACAACACTAGCTAATATGTGTGAAGAATAAAGCCCTTTTGTAGGCTATATCTAGAAAACACATTTAATATTACTTGGAAAAAAGAAGTGTCAACATCTGGCCCTATTCTTGTTTTACAGAAATTTTTCATTTTGAAACTTATAAATATTAATAGTACTTCTGGTTTCCAATCCATAGAAGTAGATCTACTTAGCATGTGTTACAGCTAAGCTAGCATATTTCTAACCTTTTAACTGAACTACTTATACACTACAGCACACCTTTACAGTAAACACAATTGGACTCCACAAAAACTCTTTGTTGATATTAAAATTTAAGAGTAATGTTCAAGAACAAGGTAAATTACACCATTGCTAAGAAAGCTGAATCAGTTGAGAATTGAATGTGTGGAAATCCTTGGGACATCACTGCTTTGATCTCACGCATCTATTGGCCTAAAAAAATTCTTTGTTTCTAGTTTCCAGATTTACACTTGTCAATCTTTACCATCAATGTAACTCCTTAAATTTTTAGTATACATTACTTCTTAATATGCATCTCAAGCAACACTGCACACACACACACACACAAATAAACAACATAAACTATCTCATAACATTTGAGGACAAGGAGCTTACAGGTCTGTCAAGACTATCCCATCCACAACCACACATCCCCCATTAAAAAAAAAGCCAGCCTTTATCAGTTAAATACTTATCAACCCTTCTCTTTATATTAAACTTCTTTAACTTTACTGCATCTATCCAAATCACCACATTTGAGTGCAAATCATTCCAAAAGCCCTGTTAAAAAAATAAAACTAAGTTGAAGAATACTCCAACCTGACAAAAGTTGTGTCCCCTTTTCCTACCATTCTCCCTATTAAGTAAAAAAGTAAGGTGCCACGTAGTAGCTCTCCTCTGAATACTTTCCAACAATTCATGTTCTTCTTAAGGTAAAGAGTCCAAGACAATATACTAAATAATGTCTAACCGATGGTCTATACAATCAAATTATAACCTCTTTAGACTGATATTCATAATTTTGTAAATACAATCTAAAATCCTATTTGCCCTACCACAAGCAACAGCACATTATTTGGATGGATTAACTCTTTCAGCACGGGCTCGGTCCCTAGGACTGACCACATAACCATTTTGTGCTTGTTATAGTTTTCATGCTATAACTTTTAAATTAGTAAGCATATTTTAATGAAATTTACCAGAATATTAGTAAACATTACAATGCGTTCATACACAATTTTTTTTTTTTTAATTAAGTCTTAAGGTTTGTTAAGCAATGTGTTTCTCATGCCTTTTTTTTCTTTTTGCATGTTGCCTATCCAACATGCAAAGTAATTTTCATTTTAAGATTACAAATAATTTTGTGCAACAAAATAATTTCAAATTTCACATGCAAAATCTTTATAATGTCCAGACAGATATTAAATGTTTTTTTAAGAAAAAACTTTATATTTTATCTGTTAGTTTCAGCAACGAACCTCTGTACAGGTTTAGTTGATTTGACCGATCTCGTAACCACATTAAATAATTAGGAAATAAATATAAATTATGCCTTTTTTCGTTCTAGAATGACTACAAATTATAACACAAAAACATAAATGTTTAGACTAACTAGCTTAAATCTCATAACATTATACATTTATATATATTTATTATTTTTATTATATTGACCTTTCAGCCATGCTTGGCTAACAATACAGAAGTTATAATGATGCGGCATATGTGCACTCATGTTACCATATCTAATAATATAAAACTGACCTTTAATCTTTACAAAGATCTTGGCTATGTTTTAATAGACTAGTATTTTATAAAATACAGTCAAATTTCAATTATTATACAGTATATAAGTATATAGATTATTGCTATTTAGAAATAAGTTCTTAAACGTATTTTTCTTAAAACATATAGAACAGTAAATAAAGAAGTAAAGCAAACAATCATCTCTTCTAGTTACAACCTTTGTACTCGGTTGCTGCTTGACGAAGGTTGCTACACCTTTTAAAATTTTGCACTCTATAAGATAACCATTCCATCTTTGAAACCACTCTAGTAAATCTCTAATGAACCTCCTTTTAAATAGTCAATATCCTTTCTAAGGTAATGAGATGAGCTACACATCAGTATTCCAAGTGAGACATAACTAGTGATTTGTATAGAGATAATTACTCTTACAATTTGTACTTAACATACTTATAAATACACCCTAAGATTCTATTAGCTTTACTACTAACAATTGAGCACTACCCCACTATGCCAAGATCCTTCAGTCATGCTATTGAGTGTGTTTTCATCTACATTATATGTTTGATCCAAATTGTAACCCAAATGCATTACATTACACTCACTATTATTAAGGTTATCAAAACCTCTATACAGCTAAAAATACCAAAGAATGTATTGTCATAAGCAAACTTTTCTAATGTACTAAATATGTTTCTATTAATATCATTAATAAAGAAAAAAAAAGATTAAAGGCCCAAGAACTCACCTCTCAGGTACTTCACTAGTAACAATAGTTTAGTTTGACTGTGGACTCCATTAATAACATTTTGCTTTTTATTAGCCAACTACCCTAAATCTTATTAACTAGTCTTTCTCAAAATGATTTTCCCAACCCCTACCAATGTGATTTTCTTGGCTAATCTTCTGTATAGCATCTTACAACTTTTTGAAAATCCAGATGCATTATATCCACACCATTTCCATCATCCAGATAAGAAATATCTTAGAAAAATGTTAACAGATTAAGTTAACAAGATGGCTTTCTTTTGTGATATTTCATTAAATGATTTTGCAAAGTTTCTTTTAACAGGCTCCTTAGCATTTTTCCCACTACAAATGTAAAATCAACTGAGCTATAATGTCCAGGGCAACTCTTATCATGATCTTTGAAAATAAAAGAATCAGTAATTAGTAACTCTCCTATCTTCAGGCACTTCTCCACTGTTTAATCACCTACTATAATTGAAAGAGACTCGCATATCTGATTTTTTCGCCTCCTTTAAAAATCTTGAGAAAAACATTATCTGGTCCTGATATATATTTATTTTTAATCTTTTTTTACTAACATGGTTTAACATCCACATGATTTAGATTAACTAGAAAATTTGTGTAGTTCTATACTTTGTAAAAACTTTATTCATAGCCAAATTTATGCAATTTAAATAAGAAACAAATTTCCTGACATGTTCTGACTGTGACACCAGAAATATGGAATTCTTAAAAAGGAATGAAGGGTAATTCTTTCTACTAGCCTCCTTCCACCAATTGATAGAATTCATATGCTTATAAGTTATCCACTAAATATGTTGAGTTTCTATTACATCAGGATATCAGCAACTCTATAGTCTAACTAGGTTAAGTACCAAGATGCCTCAGCTTACATTCAGCATTCCTCAACAAACAATTTATAAAACTTATCACATCCAGAGATTAACTGAATTCTGGGCTAACTTTCCCTAGCCATAACTCTTATTAAATTATATTTGAATTTTTTCAACTGGCCTAATATAGCATTCAGGAAAACATTCTTGCAGTTAATTGTCTATAGCAACATTTTTATTTTTAAGAAATTTGAAAAAAATTAAATATTCAGTAGTATACCGTTAGTAGGCTTTGCTCTTTACTGGTGTGTTTACCTTAGCTGAAGTTTTTTTTTTCAAAAAAGGTGAAGAAAAATGTCAGTTTTAAAGTTAAGATCCCTGGATCTAATACAATGTTAAAACTTTAAATTACTCATCAAATTACATAAAATATCTAAATAATAATATTAAACTATTTAACTATTATTATTCATATTGTTATGTACAACGGCAACATGTAATGACATTGACAGTGTTATATTGAAACTGATAGACACGGCACAGTTAGTAACTTGCATTCATTCACATCAAGTTAAATTAAGTCTTTATAAATTGCCCTAAAATAAAAATAAATCAAAACTTGTGATAATCCGGTATATTCATATTATTTAATTAATATACAATGATGTATATTTATAAGTTTATTGGCCCAATTATTAATTAGGCCTACTGTGTAGGATAATATGAACACTATAATTTCTATAACAGTGCTAACACTAACAATACTGTCCACTAATAACACAAACAAGGCTTTACCACTTACTTGTTTTACGAGTGAGTCGAGATTTACGCCAACTATTGGGACATTTCTGGGAGATCCAACATTTTGTTCATCATCACTGAAACTCACTTCCATTGTAGATACATTAATTTCATCTTCCCCAGGTGTATTTTCAACTGCAATTTTTAAATTTGGCAATTCCTCTGAACCTATCCGAAAATGCGCCATTTCACTCAGCGACTTTCACTGGTTACTGAGCGTAATAAAAGAAAACATGCACACGTTGAATGAGGATTCCACTGCTGCAGTAATGCCATTTATTTGCAGGTTTTATATTAAAATGATTCAATATAAAAAAACAGTGACGTCTTTGGGAATGCACGGAGTAATGATGGACTTTCTACGAGTTTACTTTATTAGTATATCCCATAATGATTGATACTTCTCTGTAATAATAATATATATATATATATACAGCAGACAATACATAGGAATGTGATTCGAGATAGGATTTAAGATGGAGCTGGGAGGGAGAACTTGGAAGATTATATAGCAGGGTTCAGGAATTTGAGGCCTTGAAACTCTCAGGATTTTGAGGCGGGCGAGCTTTAGAAAGTGTAAAATTCAATATTCATGAGTAACACAGTATAGCGAATGACTATAACACTGTAATAGTGTGGTTGTGTTATTCTCCGGAATATCTGTGCTATAACGTTATTCTTTCGTTGGGCTGGTTCCTTTAAATCTAAAGGTCAAGCCCAGTCCATGTAACAATAAAAAATTAGTTTATTTCTACTTTACGTTTCTACGGGTAACCTTCATTTGTACATTGTTGTAATTTGTGGGCTTAAGTTTAAAAATGACGTTTCGAGGGAATATCTCGTTAATGGCACTAGGAATAACGTTCAAATAAACTTATTTGTTCAATTTCACGGCTGATCGATCGATTAACTGAATATACCTGATAAATAACTCTGATCCAAATACTTCACTGAATGTCTGGCACTCTACCAACTGAAAAACTAACTTTCACTGAATCACAGTTCTATTTCAATCGTAACTCACTGCTTCTCGTATTTATAATGTAGCTTTTTTATAGACACTTTTTAAAAGTCTCTCGATCACTAATATTTACGAATATTCTCAGTATTCTAGAGCTTACTTGTTCGTAACGTGATGTGTTCTCTAGTTAACATCCAATTAAAACATTGAAAATATAGCTTACCACACCTATTTCTGCCCAGAGAAGATATTGCTTAATGCTGTGAGGCATGCTGTGTGAGGATATCGATAGCAGTGTCCGTAAATGGTTGTCAGGTGATATCTAGAGGTTTTTGCCCTACCTATATAGTAATGAAAATGATCACATAGACCATGAGTCTCTCTGGGTAAATGTGAACTTTATTTCTTGCTTAGAAACATTGCATTTGGTCAGTCTGGTCTGGAACATCATTTGGTCATTATATTCTGAAGAGGATCAAATGAAGGCAATCATCCAGTGCAAATAACATCAAATTCATTTATAGTAAATATTGTTCATTTTGTGTTTCTCCTTGTGTCCATTCTAGTTACTTCATTTTTTCTTTGATTCAGTTAGTAAGAGATTTAGTACTACACTATAGTTGATATATTGAGTGATTCTCCTGTTATCTAGCAAACCTATCTAATATAACTATGTAGTTAATTTAGTTTCACATGGATATACCACAACATAAATGGTTGTCAGTGTTACAGAGATCACAGTGAGAGTGGTATCAGTTAGTTGCTAAAATAACTTCTCTGAAGTACAAATACTATTATAAAACAATGCTTATAGAATGACATTAGTTAAAAGTTATATAGTTAAATCCATGTTGCATCTCTAGAAGGCATACAAGGCCGATATTTTCAAACTAAAGTTCCAATGGCACAAGTGGATGAGAATGGTGACCTATTCAACCTGGACGGGATGCCAGTTCATTGCAAGTTATCATCCAGCTAACAGTTAAGTATCCATCATACATCTGAGTAGGTTGGAACGAGTGGAGTAAAATGTCTTGTTTAAGGGCACAACAGCATGACGTAGGCTTGTCTCGAACTTACAACCATCCAACTAGAGCTCAAAATACAAAGTCACTGAGCCATCCTGCCTCTCTGAATGACATTAGTACTTAGTACACAACATGAAAGAGTGCTCTATTAATAATAATTTGTAACAAAGTTTCCAGCTAGATTTCTGTCCTGTGTTCTTATATAAATGCTTATTCTCAACAGTAGTACAAACTAAAGGGGGAATGCAAAGAAATATATGTTTATATATGAGTGTAATGAGTTATGGTATATTTCATTTGAATATTCTGAGTCGGGGCTTGTGCTTTAATTGTTAATTTAAATGAACATAAGTCACTAATTATAAATGTAATGAGACTGAATCCTCCATCATTTTACAGTGTCAAATCATTAGTTGTGTGTTTGTGATTTCCATTCCTATGTGTACATTTGTTACATCTACAGAAATGGTTCTTTAATCATCATATACTGTATAACCCATGAAATGTGTAAATTAGGTGTTTTTACTTAACAACCAAATTACCGTGAGTTATTAAATCAAGCAGAATTAAAGAGAATATACACATGTTTTACATGGTAAAGTTTCACAGGTGCAAGTTTACTATACCCTACATTATGTGAATTAATACTGTTATGATAGCAGAAGTCACGCGATGCTGGAGTTTCTTGAAGAATCACGAATTTGCCCGGCAACTCTAGTCGGATAGAGACGCCCTCTTTTTAGTATATAAGCCTGGCGAGAAAAACCAGCGGCATCGAAGAGATAGATAATT